TGGAGACTTCAGAGCTTTCTGTGCTGTGACAGCTGGCATTTGTGTTTGTTCATGTCCCCCAGAGACTGAATGGAAACCATTAAAACCAGTCATTACTTTTCTTAAGGGGAAAAAGACATCATGTTTGTAGCATTTTTGAAGGAACTGCTCCCCCTTTGAAGGAAGCTCTTTTTATTTTTTGGCACTTGGGCTAACTCTTTCCAGCAGTTGGTCATGCTTTTTGAGGTTTCAGAACCTGTTATATCCCTGTTGAAGATGAATGTGTTTTATAAATAATGTCTTTGGTTTGATGAAATTGGAAGCTTGGATATTTTTTCAGTAGGAAGAGCGATGTAGTATGAGGCAAAGATTTGATCATCCTACCAACTCAGAGAAAATAGTTTCTAAACCTGTCAAGTCAGGTTTTTTTTTTTAAATGGATGATTTTAAAATCATCCTGTGTAGCTATTCATATTCTAACATTCTGAAAGTACTAAAACAGTAAATAATTGGGATTTTTAATTTACTGCACCTTAGTAAAGAATAAACATGCAGTCATCAGTTGACAGGTGTGAATGTGTTCTGTGCCTGTCATTCCTTTTCTTCTGTAATAATGTATGCGCAATGATCTGCCTGTGCTCTTTGATTTTTTGTTTGTGTTCTTGTTTGATCAGTACCTGCTTCTTTACTTAAAATTTTTTCAGACTGGCTTCCTGAGTGTTTTCTTTGCTTTATACCAGAAAAAGTGTATTTTGATATTTGTGGTGGTCTTAACTTGTAAACTTACCAGAAAGAGTATACTTTGATATTTGGTATGTTCTGAATTTAAAATTGTACTTTCTGGTGGGGGAGGGTACAGCTTAGTGGTAGAGCTTGTGCTCAGCATGCACCAGGTCCTGGGTTCAATGCCCAGTACCTCCACTAAAATAAATAAATAAAATAAAGTACCTCCCCCCCCAAAAAATAAATAAAAATTATACTTTCTGTATTTGTTCTTAAATTTGTGCCTTCCCTCCTCCTCTCATTTTTCTGGTTCCACATTAAAAAATTTATTTGGTTAGATTGTAATTATCTTCCTCAAAACATTTTGTAATTGTCTTTGGTATAATACTTTTAAAACCTGGGAAAGAATATGTATGCTCGTGTTTCCATTATCATATGAAAGGAACAGATTACTTAGGTTTCTCAGACTACATTTTAAGGAAAGAAATGAATATTCAAATAGATGAGGTTTAAGTGGTTAAAACTGAATGGTTTCTTTCTTGTTGCACTTTGATTTCCCAGCCTGTGAATTTACTCTGATCGTATCTAATTGTTGAGAAGGTGGCTTAGGAGTAAAAAGGTGTGCATAAATCTTAATTAATAGCAAAGCATAGTTACTATGCACTGTATTCGTGAGCCAAAATAAATAGTATGGTGACAGTTTTCAAACTGCAACGTAGGAAAGTTTATTCATTTAAAGAACTGCTGTAGCCTTGGCTGCCTGTGGATAATGGGACACAAGGACTGTGGAATGACAATGAACTATTTAAATGGCCTATGAAGAGATGGTGTTAGATAATTATAAAGCAAAGAACCTCAAGCTGGACTAAATATTCTTATTCCGACTTACTGCTGAGCTCTGAAAGTTGAATTATAACTGCAGTATGAATAACTGAAGTTTAAAGGCCTGATTTATAGGTTTAACATTTTTTTTAAAGTCAAATCCTTTCAGAATGGTTTTAGTGGAATTAACCTCTAATGATTTTATGTCATTTTGTGAACATGCCTAGTTTTCCTCTGAGGAAAAATTGAGTGTGAGAAAAGGAAACAAAACTGAATAGTCTTCGGTTTAGTTCTTTTTTAAAACTTGTATTTCTTAGACTTAGGGAACAGGAAGAAAATGAATGTATTGAAATATGCTCTTTTCCCCCATCTTCCTCATTGTCTTCTTTTCCTATCTGTAAATTTTCCTAATTAATTTTTTACTAATATAATATCTTTCTGTTTGAACTGATTGAGAAAATAATCAAAGGCCAGACCTCTTGGGCGTTTGTTACACTTTGATTGTCCATGACCCGGCCTTTGAATGATTCTGAGCTTCAGTTGAGCAGATTTACCCATTGTCCCATCTGCTCCACTTTTCAACGTGTCGTGTTGTAAGAGTTTTATGACTAGGAGGCATATCCACCTGGGGTTTTGGATGTGACTACCAAGCTTTAGGGTTTGATTTATATTTGGATCCATGTCTTCAGACATGAAAGGTTAGTGCAAAAGGATGCTTCTCCGCTGTCTCCGTTTCGTTTCAGCAGCTCTGCCTGATGCCTTTGAAATGTGCTTTAGTTTCTGTCAGTTTGATTAAGAGGAGGCAAAGAGAAAGTAACGACTAGATGAAAAATGCTTTGTGGTCTGTGTGGCGCGGATAGGTTGGGTAATGTTGAGCAGAGTGTACAGATAGGTAAGCGTTGCTGCAGCGGAGTTGTGGTGAGATGCGGCGCGGTTTCAGGCTGACCCTCAGATCGCCTGCATACGGTCACCCTGGGTCCAGAGCCCAGGTTTATAACAATAGGGACTGGATTTTTTTTTTTCTTTCTTTCCTTCTTTTTTTTTTTTTATTTAATCCAAGAATAATTAGTACCTTGAGAACAAGTTCTTGCCAATCAAGTCAAAGGATTATTTATAATCTAGAACAGTGCTGTCTGAGGTAATAGCCACAATTCACATGCGGCGACTTAAGTTAATTAAAATTAAATAAAGTTGAAAATGCATTTGCTCTGTTAACATAATCACGTTTCAGGTGCTTAATAGCCACCTGTGGGCAGTGCAGGTATGGGATGCTTCCACTATTGCCAGAAGTTCTGTTGTGCACTGCTGGTCTGGAGTGCTAGTGGACTAATTCGTAATGGACGAGTAACCATATTATCCTTCTGGTAACTGTATTACCATATCTGCTACCCACAACACCATTTTTCAGGGCAACTTGGAAATTAAATCAGTCTTCAGGAGACTGTTGATTTCTTAGTGAGCCATGAAGGAGCTAGCCTGAAGGAGCTAGAAAGTTTGTGAACTATTTTCTCTGAGTTTGGGGAAATCTTTAAAGGACTTTCTCTCTTGACATTACCTTCCTAGTTCAGGGTCACTTGAATATGCCGGCTACGCTCTACATTTTGAATAAACATTGACAAATTATCTTGATCACAAGATAATCCTTTGCAGCTGAGATCAAGGTAACATAATTTTCTGGTTGCACAATTTTGTGAAATGGGATTGAGGCTGTTGATTTTAAATTGTTTTATAGTGCTGTTTGACCTACTGAAACATTTGTCCTTGAAAGAAACTGTCTTACATTGAATAGTACTTGTCTTGAGGTATTAATTAGAGGAGCTTACTGAGATTTGTATTTTAAGTATGTGGGCAAGTCC